GACCTGCAGCTCCACAGAAGAAACAACGCCTTCAGTTGGTTCGTTATGTTGTTTCTTTTGCGGTGCCGTATCTGCAGCTTCCTTATTAATCTTCCTTTTCTTGTTACTTTTGTCCTTAGAGGTGGTGGCTAAATGAGCACTTTCTGTCTTTTCATGCTTCAGTCTTTCCTCTTCCTGGACACAGTGTGAGATGAGCTCATTAAAGGACCATGAGTCCTTTTGATAGTTATAGCTCACCTTGAATTGACTGAAATGTGCCGAAAGAGATATCAGAACCAAGTGCACTAACAAATCTTCAGATAAATCCAACTTGAGTGCCTTTAGTTTTGAAGCAATGTGAGACATTTCCCTAATGTACTCCCGAATGTTTCCTTTCCCTTTATACCTCATTGAGACAAGATTTGCCAAAAGTGTACTTATTTCAGCATTTTCATTCTTGGCAAACCTCTTTTCAAGGTCCTCAAGGAAACCCTTAGCCGTAGTCACCTTATCGGACATAGTGCCCCGGAATGCTTCTGGAATAGCACGCTTCATAACCATTAAGCTTATGCGGTTCGATCGTTCCCACTTTTCCATCTCTTGTCATCAGAGGTACTCTTATCAGTAAGTGCAGCAGGTTGATCAACCCGAAAAGCAAGGTCTAGGTCCATGACTCCGAGAACAATCATAACGTTCTCTTGCCATGCCCTGAAGTTTGTGCCAGTTAACATTGGAATTGAATTGGTGCTAGCAGAGATATTAGCAGCAGAACCTAAAACTGAATTAGAGAACATTTATTATGAATAGCTCACATGAATATCTTTAATATGCAAATAATAATAATAATAATCTCAAATAGTGGTAGGGCCCATCACAAGATACCAAGCAAAACATCAATATCCAGTCTTTGGACAGAGATATTGACTTGTAAGCGGTACTCTTAGCGTAGTGATCAAACATTGACGATAAAACAACATGTCAATCAATAAACATTTCTTTGGACCGATTTATTGATCACACATTAAACCAAATAATCGTCACACGTTTATCACCACAGGTGCACGTGTATTCGACTAAATATTGACCTTCCTTTGGGCCGACCAATATTTCCATGAATAACACGTGCACAAACACTTTTTAACATTCTAAGTTAGTCAATTTTCACAAGAGAGGTTGCTTTGGCAACATTTCGCTTCAATTAACTAACTTTCGAATATTATATCTCTTAAAAGAGTCTTTAATACCAAAAATTTGAGAAAGAGAATCACCAATTTTGCATATTTTGATTAGTTTTAAACTTTAGGGGCCTTAGGATTAATAATTCAAAACTTTAAGGGACAAAATTAATTAATTTCAAACTTTAGCGGTTGAAATTAATAAACTTGAAACTTTATGGACCATAATTAATTAATTCAATACTTTAGAGGATCAATTAAAACAAATTTTAAAACTTTAGGGGCCGAAATTGACCAATTCAAAACTTTAGGGATCAAATTTTAAAATTTTGAAACTTTAGGGGTCAATTTGAATTAATTATGAACTTAGGGGGTCAATTTGAATTAATAATTTAATTTTGAGGGCTTTAATTATAAATTTAGAACTTTAATGGCCCGAATTAATTAATTTTAAAACCTTAGGGACTGAATTATTAAATCCGAAACTTAAAGGCCCAAATCTTATTATAACTTAAAGGTTAGGGACTGAAACTTAATTTTATAACCCTAACCCTAATTGCAACTAAGGACCTCAATTCATCTAATTTACAGGAGAGGCCCCCGCCCCCAAAATCAAAAACTGAAAAAACCAAAAAAAAATTTTCTTCTTCTCTTGGCGGCGGTGCACTCCGGCGCCGCCTGGTGGAGTGGCGCCGGCCCACGCCGACGCCACAGGCAGCAGCGCCTGGCGCTGCTGTGTTTTGCAGCAGTCCCTCTGCAAAGGCCGACAGCGGGTCAGATCTTCAAAAAAAAAAAATTTCGTACAGAAATCTGAACCCAAAAATCTGAAATTTCTAAACTGAATTAATCCGAACTAAAATAACAAAATTATACCGCAAAAAAATTTCAAATTTAACAAAACATATAACCAAAAAAATGTTAAATCTGAAAATTTCAAAATATATTGCAAAAACCAAATTATGTTATTCGATTCTCAATGATTCAACATGAAGAGGCTCTGATACCACTTGTTGAATAATTTAATGCTTTAAATTATTAGATCTTTCATGTTAAATCATCGAGAAATATAAGAATTAAAGCGGAAGCATACCTGAATCAGACATGGTCAATGCAATATGAATTTCGCGGTATGATCTTCCAAATCTACATGCAGTCTCCTTTTCCTCTCTGTGATGGGATGCAGTAGAGAATGAATAATACTTTGCATGTGATCTGGGGACCATAACCTTTTTATATAGGGATGCCCTTTGACCTAATTCGGCCCATCATAGAATTAGAACTTGGGCCCGGTCTCTACACATATATAAATCCATACTTTAATTTGATACATTAAAGCCCAAAACCGAAGCCTTATTAGATCACTTTAATTTGGCTCAACCGAATTCGATAGCCTATAATTTAACACACGATTATTCACACATACAAGCCCATCTTTAATTAAAAATTCTTACACATGAACCATTTTTCGCGTTTAGGTTGGCTACCGACTATAAATAAATAGCACGAAAGCAAGTAAATAAAGCGTGATTCTTAACCGAATAGTTAGAAAATAGCCAAAAAGGAGCTGCCATATATCATTCTCCCAAAAGGACCAAATACCTCAAAGCTTGGAAGGAAATCTCAAAGTATCCCCTCATTTGAAGAAGAAGACATGCAATTCAAATATCTCATTCTTAAATAGCTATTTTATTTCCTGTTCATGTGTTCAGCATTCAAATTAATGAATTTAAGAAGTGAAAAATATAATTAGGTGGGTAAGATTTGTTGATTCGATTTGTATCATCAACAGATTTCTTTTGACTTTTTATGAGGTTTAAATATGTAAAAAAATAAAAATAAATAAAATTTGACATTTGTGTTATTCTCTCTTTTCCTTTTTGTGTTTGTTGGAGTAGCTCTTACATAAGAATTTCTTTTTGCCTAGGGTAATCTTGTATGAATTTATATCACATTTACTATTTCTACTTCTTGTTTTCTCTACTATCTCCATTTATTCTACACCATTAGTTAAAAGTTGAGAACCCTTTTTAGCTCACATTTTAAAAAAAAGAAAAAAATTAGGGTGATTCCTTTTATATAGGGTTTTGAATTCATAGTTCTCTTTCATTCGTTTGGAGTTTAAATATAGCTTATATGAATATCTAACGATCTTGAAATCAAATTTCCTAATTTTTTTCACATGTTTCTTTGGAGTTGTCAAAATAATTTGGCAAAGACGCTAATTCTTTCGAAGCAATAGCACATTTAAAAATTATGATTTTTAATTACTATTAGCATTTTTGAAAATTTGGACAACAAATAATTTATTTACGGACTTCTCAAGCCCCCATGTTTGATGGATGTTAAAATCAGAATTTTAACAAATTTTGATAAAAATTGATTAAATGTGTAGTTAAACAATTGCGGATCCCATAACATATGTTGTTAAAATTATTTATTGACTTTGTTTTAGATCAAAATCTTAATTTTAATTTACACCAAACATGGGCAAAATCATTTTTGTTGTACGAGTAAGCAATTAATTTATTTTAAGAGACAACATCAAGTGAATCTTATAGTTTAAAATAAAAGAGTTCATTTTATTTGGTTGTTTGTTCTTTTGTGTACGTCTTGTTCTACGCGTGTGATTTTCTTAGATTTTGACACTGCTTATACAATAATTGAAATTTTTAGATCGTTTTTTGTTTTGGATAGTATTTTTTTTTGTAGTTTTTCTTTCATTCGTCCGCATCATCTGGAACCTTTTCCTTTTGGATAGATTTTTCTCATACATTTTTTTCATCTCTTCAGCTGCATTGTCTTCTGTTTCATCTCTTGTTCTATTGGTAACATTTGACAAAGTTTTTTTTTTGGTAACTAATTTTAGATACTTATATTTGTGTTTCGTAGCAAGATATGCTAAACTTACAAGCTTTTACTCACATTATCTGTGTTTAAAAGATGGTAAATATGAGTTGCTCTGGCTTTGTGCATGCTCACAATGTTGTTTCCTGCACAATTGTTTTGATACTTATTTCCATTCATTGAAGCTTTGTTTCACATGTCCTTTGTTCATTCTATCCTCAGTTGATTTAGCAAAAATAGTAATTGTAACCTATAATAAAAGAGGTTTAGCAACTCTCAATGTTCACTGCGCCATGTATTGACACCTCTGGTAACGTCCTTCGCTTATTATTATTATTATCATCATCATCATCGTTGGAAAATGACAATGTTTTGTGTTGGATTGAAAATGATGTCGTTACAAGCTTCACAAACAATCTATCCAAGCAACCGCTTGATAAAATTCTCGTCCTTTACGTGACCTGTCCTTTGGCTTTTATTATCTCAAATTATTTAGAAGAAATCATTTGATCGTGTTCTTTGCTTTGATGTTGTCATTATTATTATTATTTTCATTGGAAAATGACGTTGTTTTGTGTTGGATTGAAAACGATGTCATTACAAGCTTCCTATACAATCTATCCAAGCAACTGCTTGAGAAAATTCTCGTACTTTACATGACCAATCGCTTGGCTTTTATTTTACAAATTCTTTGAAAGAAATCATTTGATTGCTTTGATGTTATGCATTTGCTATGAAAAATACATAAGGAAATTAGAAATAATACTAAGATTATAAAATAATAGAAAGAAATGTTACAATAAATAGAGTAACAATAAAAAAAGGAAATCTAATTGTTGATATAGTAGCGGTATTAGAGGAACCCAAGATTGTGTTGTACACAGTTTTCTTAAAACAAATTCGGTCCCACAATAGTGTAGGAAGACTAATGACGTCTATTTTTCAGAATATAACAATTGAAAACAATATTAGCATCTTGTCACTTCTTTAGACAAACTAAGAATGCTCAAAGATCGATTAATTGCTAAGCCATACTCTCAAGAGTATGGTATGGATTATGAGAAGACTTTTGTATTGCAAAAATAACTACAATTCGTATCTCTATTGTAGTTATCTCTATTCGTTGATTGAACACATCTCAGATAAATATTAAAAACACCTTATTGAATGGTGGTCCATAGGAAAAAGTCTACATGATTTCCCGCCTGATATTTCTCATCGACTTGGTGAAGTTTGCAGAAGCAACTTACGGTCTCAAATAAGCACCAGAAACTTGGTTTGAAAAGTTTTCAATCGTGGTTACTTCACTTGGTTTCATTTCTAACTATCATGATTTAGCATTATTTCACAAAGTACAACTTACGATCATGTTTTACTTTCTTTATATGTTGATGACATGATTATTACCAATCATAATGTTGATGGGATTGCATCATTAAAGTTGAAAATACCTCGTTACTCGGTAATAAAAGGTTTAGGTTTACTTGGTTATATTCTAGGTATTGAAGTCCCCTCTTCTTTGAAAGGTTTTTTTTCTCATCTTAGGGATAATAATCTATTGATATACCTCTTGAGCTTAATAATTGCTACTCTCCTTCTGATTCGCCATTATCGGTTTCTAGTTTACATCATATTGTTATTGGTAGCTTGGTTTATCCACCATCACTCGTCTAGGTATTATATAAAAGGCCTGCATAGCCCAATATCACCATATTTATGTTTATTATTAACCATTCAGATATGTCTCACTAAATCACGAGTAGAGATACTGATAATATAGAGTTAATGGTATTTCATAACTAATTGATTGAGCAGCATACATATTGTTCATTAGGTTGCTATATATCGCATTTTAAGGTACCTTCGAGGTACTCAGTTTCAAAGTCAATTACTTTCCTCTATTTCATCATTAGAGTTGCAAGAATATTTTGATGCTGATTGGTCTCGTAATTCTACAGATCGCCAATCTACTATTGGCTTTAGTGTATTTCTTAGTGATTCCTTTATTTCTTGGAAGAGCGAGAAACAAAATATTATTTCTAGATCTTCAAAAAAAAAGTGGAGTATCGTGCCATGACTTACATTACATGTAAGATAGTTCAATTACATTAGTTGCTTGCAGATATGGGTATATTTCTTTGTCGACCTATTCCAATGTATAGTGATAATAAGAATGTTATGCACAATTCAATATTTCATCAACGGACCAAAGATAGGCCATTGGGCATCAACAGCAGCTTGGCACTCACATTACATTTTGTTCCTTCCGTCATATAGATTGTTGACTTGTTTACAAGGTCGCAACTCAACTCGCTATTTTGCTACTTGGTTAGCAAACTCTCAACACTTCTTTCAACAGTATCATGAGTTTGAGAATAGATGTTAAAAATACTAATTATTTATATTTTATGAGTAGATTAGTCTATTTCTTTGTTTGCTAGCAGAACTATAGAAACTTATTTACTATGTATTTCATACGACAATTGAACAAAAAACTCTAACCTCCTTTATTTTCTCTATCTTTTGTTAAATAAAATAAAATATGAAGTTGTTATAAAGTTGTACTGAAATTTTCCCACCAGATAATGGATTAGAATAGCAAGAAGAATGTGTCGTCCATGTGCCATGAGAATTTAGTTATACATTTGATCTCAAAGAAATATGAAATTTCCCAAAGTAAACATTTTTATAAGTAGAAAAAATTTCTTGCTGATTAAATAGAGCAGGATGACTTTAATTACAATTATATTCTTTCTGAAATAAATTTTTGTTGGCTTTTTTCCAATAACAATTACAGGATTGTGGAAAAAGATTATGACTTGTATGGCTAAAGAATACTAAAAATTTTGATCTTAGAGGGCTAAAACCATAAGCCTATACTACTAATTATAGGCTTTTGGTAATAGGCGAATCTAAAGGTGAAGATCCTAGTCTGATCACCTATAATATAGACCTAGGCAACAAGAAGCATGACTAATGCGAATTCAAGTGCCAAAAATGTTATTAATTTGAATCATGCATTACTGTCAAGGAGGATGACGGTACACTCAGATGGGGAAGAAAGAGCATTTTTTTGGCATTTTTAATTTGCGCGGTTCCACATTGGTCCCACGTGCATTGAGAGTAAGTCAACCTAGTGGTTTAACTCTTTTTGACAAAAAAAGTTTAATTCTATTAATTTTAGGGTAGAGTAAAAGGAGTGATTCTTTATTTTTTTTAAAAGTTAAATAAACTTAATAGATAAAAGAAATTACTATTAATAATCTTAAAATAAAAAATTCATATAGCTTATTACATCTAGGTTCATAAGGTTTGAGGTTCGACCTTGTCACGTTATCATGTCTTACTCCTTTTATAACCTTGATTATTATGACTCTTCTACTAGCCCATTGAAATAGTTAATTGAAAACATTTTCAGTCGTGAAGTACCTAAGCACAATCTTAGAATTTAGCAATTGTTGAACATAATTAAAAGAATAGAAAAGATTCATCAACTTAAAATTTATCAAAAATAAAATTTGATTTATTAAGTAGTCAAGGTTTTAATGCTGGAGTATAATATCCGACCATTGAAGAATAAGTGATTGTGATGGACTTCACATTCATTGTGAACTGGCTTTTTAAACTTTTTAATCATTTTGTAAAACCTCATCAACGACATATTTCGTAGATAGTATATATTTTCTATTTAACCAAAAAAGCCTTTTTGTGTCCTATGGAATTTTGAGACATCACTAGAACATGATTATAGGAAGTAGTCTAAAAAGCGTATTTAGATGCGAAATTAGATCTTGTCGTCTAGTTGCATTTTACGCTTTTTAAAATACTGATTATGAGAATGGGATCAAATCTTAGGCTTCAATTAGCCAAGTCTTACATCGGATAGAAAACGAGAAAGAAAGAAAAACTTCAATTATTGGAAGTAATCTAGATAAGTCAATGACTCAATGTTAAGGCTAAGCATGGAATGGAATAAAAGAAAATGAACCCTACTACAAATTAAGGTAAACTCTACCTCAATAAGTTTATTATTATCCCGCCTTGATCTATTTATTTTCCTTAATGAGCTCCATCCCTCTTTTTCAAAAAGCAATTATGTTTAGAGAATTAAACCGTGTATAGAGTTTGGAAAATCAAATTTTTTCATATTTTCATTGTGTATATATAGTTACAAAGAGATTACTGTTGACCCTCTTTTTTGCACAAGTGAGGTGGCCCATATATTCTGAGTCCTCTCTTGTCCATGTAAGCCTTTGATCTTACACACTTGGACAAACAATAAGTCGCACGAGGCCATCTCTGAGGTGAGGAAATGAAGTCGCATGTACTCCAATGGGTTGTCAATACAATATATGAGTAAAGGAGTGTATGGCATGCTATAGAGCGAGCCACTATGTAAATCGGGTCGAGTGAAATGAACATAAAGCAAGTTTCTAGTTTGGATGTATAAAGTTGCATTATATGTAAATACCACAACGTGCGAGTTTTTGTAGTATAAGAGGTAAAATACTAACTGTTGGATGAATAGAGACACAACCTTATCTTGACAACTGACCTGCCATCTAATCCATCATAAGCTGGGCTTAAGGATTTTAACAAGCAGCCAACCTAGAGCCTAGGTTGGCCTCTTATATGTAGACTAACAACTTAACCCTATGGCAGTTGTTGCAGTGAATTGTCACGTTAATTAATCACAGACAGATCTTGGGTAGAAGCGAAAGGAGAAAATGCATTTTGTGAATTATGGAGGCTAGGGGCCTCGCAATTCTCTCACAGTGTGTGTGGCACTTCACCTCAGCTATTGAGGGTCAACCTTGACATGGCACTTCGACTGAATTCGTGTATCACCTCAACTTCCTTATGGGCTCATCTTGGATATGCACCTTGATTGAAGTGGTGCATCAACTTGACCTAGTAGGGGATGATGTAGAATTTTAGCCTTTGTGAATTTCTTGGTTAGATGCCACGTAGGTGATGGCTTGGAGTCAATTCAAAAAAGGCATAACAATAGTCCCCCAAGTCAGTAGGGTTGTGGATCCTACAGAGGAAAGAATCGGTGTATATTATGCCTTTTTCAACTGTCCATTATATCTATATACCAAAGACTTTAGTTGAGGGGATGAATCGAGGGGTAGTACTATATTGCCTCAAATGGGCCTCATTCTCCTTTCGTGGTGGGCTTGTCATCGTCTATCAAGGAGTGGAAGCAAAGTTGGTTCAAGGCTTCAGGAGGGTGGGACACATGGAGGACAAACCCATGGCTCCTACAATAGTTTTCCACTTTTTTCATTGTAAGTGAGTCTTTTTCTTACTGATTTCACTTCACCTTCAACTTTTAGTATTTAACTTCATTGATTCATGCAGGTTCGTTATCAAGGTGTTATACTATCAACAACCAATTTGAAATCATTCGTGAGATTTACCAACTCAGCACAAAGGAGCACAATTATTCCTACCTCATTGACAAGAACTTTCTTTTCCTTGAGAGGCACTTATACTTACATATTTTCCTTTTGCAGAAGATTTTGCTAAGAAAAGGCCTTTGAGGCTGACTTCGCAACTATAAGACAAAATGTCGTTGTTGCCAAGCAATTGAAAGCCAACTCGGCTACCTACAAAAGGAAAAATGAAAATTTAGTTCAGCTAAGCAAGAGCCAGACAATTAACATTAGTTTAATACTTTTAATGTAAAAAAATATTGTATTTTGTAGTACTCATTTGCAGTCTATTTTATGGTACTAATGCAATGAAAAGTCTGTAAAAGTATGGTCCAATATAAGGCTATAATTCTGTCCTGAAGTAAGGCTATAGTAAGTAAATAGTTGTTGATGAAGAAGTGCCAAAATTGTTTTGATATATAACTCTGGTTTCCAGTCGTGTAGAATATGTGTATGATGTATTTTTTCATCAGTGTAAAGTTTATCTTTCTTCCCCTTTGTTCCAATTTTTTTCTATCAATGGTATCAAAGCCTCTAATCTTAGAAGAAGCTGATAAACTCGAATGACAGGTTCCTAGAAAACCAGCAGATTTTCACCTAAGAAAGCCAGTTGATTCTTGTAGGTTTTGAAGATGGCTTCAAGTGGTTTCTCAGCACCCCTACCTTCTGTGTTTACAGGAGAAAATTATGACTTCTAGGCAGCAAAAATGAAGGTTTATCTGAAGGCATATGACCTGCGGGAAATAACAGAAATGAGATGTTAACCACCACCTCTTAGAGCAAATCCAACAATTGCTCAGCTGAAGCAACATAGTGAGAAAGTTGCAAAGAAGTTCAAGGCCCTTTCTTACATTCAATCAGCTATTTCAGATGCCATCTTCAGCAGGATAATTACTTGTGAAACAGCCAAGGAAACCTAGGATAGATTACAAGAAGAATTCAGGAAAAATGCTAGAATAAGGTAGATGCAGGTGTTAAACTTGAGAAGGAAGTATGAAACCTTGAAGATGAAGGACTCAGAATCAGTTAAGGAATATGCAGACGGGCTGTTGAAGGTTGTGAATCAAATAAGGCTGCTAGGAGATGATTTACTTGATATGAGGATTGTGGAGAAAGTGTTGATCAGCCTACCTGAAAAATTCGAGGCAAAGATCTCTTCTCCTGAAGACTCAATGGACCTGACGACCATAATATTATCAGAACTGGTAAATGCTCTTCAAGCCACAGAACAGAGAAGACTGATGAGGTAAGAAGAACATGTAGAAGGAGATTTATTTGCCAAAGAAAAGCATAAAGCTCAAACAAGTTTTGGAATAAGGAAGTAGCAAGATGAAAAGAAGAAGGTGGAAAACAACAAAAGTACTAGCAAAAGTGGAGTTTATCCTCTCTGTGACCATTGTAAAAAGATAGGACAGTCTTCAAAATGGTGCTGGTATAGGCCTGATGTTCAATGCCGAAGTTGTAAGCAATTTGGAAACATTCAAAAAGTTTTTAAAAGCCTAAAAGATAAGCAAGTAAAGCCTCAAGCATATGGTTGAAAATTAGTAACAACACAAGGAAGAACATCTGTTTACTTCTATCAATTTTAAAGCCAATAGCAATGTTGTTGCTAGATAGTGGTAGTACTCACCATAGGAAA